ATTGATACCCACTCAAAGAATATAACGATATCCAGGCTCCTTTTGTCCGCGAGCATCTTCTTCGGCTTGAGCCTTCCTGTTTAGTGACGCCAGGTGCATCCTGAAAATGAAGCACATTATAACGACAAAGGCGGATGCCGCAAGAGAGATCCCAAATGATATGCGATAGGATGGCCCCCAATTCTTCGGGAATATATATCTTGTGCGAACATTCAGCAAGTAACACCAGCATATGAATCACATTGGAGCTCGACTCACGATCCTGCCACGGCACCTAATTGTGCAAACGCACTCGCCAGAGCAAGAGCAACGGCCCGTTTGGCGGGTGGTTCAGGAATAGAGTTTCTACAAATTTCTGGGTAAGTCAATTGGTGGATATACGTGACGGATTTGAACGAACGGTATCCATGCTAAGAAAACAACATAGCCCGCAGGCGCCTGGCCAACTAAGAAGCTGTGATAAGGGGATCAGTATATGAGGACCAGACACATTCGCGGGGGCCTACAGTCCAACGTAGCGAGCAGCGACATTATCGGTAACCATTCCAATGATATATCCAACAATTGCGACGAAGAATGGGATAGAGATATGCCAGAACCGTTCCTTGGTGCGATCTGAATGTCTGTTGATAAAATCAGCGTCGAACATCGGATAGTCCACCAGCTTTGAAACATACCTGGCATAGAAGAAGGAAGCGACTGTCAGGAAGATCGCTGGCGGTGCACAAAGCACAAGCGAGATAGTAAGATTATATCCCAAAGCCGAAGTGAGGGTTGGGAAATATGCATTGAAGGCGACGGATAAAAGAATCCCTGCGTAAGTGACCCCGAGCCACCAGACCTTCCAGTCCTTGACAGCCATGATAAAGCCGGCATATTCGCTGATGGGTTCGTAGTGCGGTAGGAGAGCAGCGTCCTCTTGCATCCGTAGAATAGCAAGAGCCTTCTCAGCTGGACTCAACCAGCTGTCAGAGTTCTCTGGAAAGTCGGGGAGTATAAACATGGCGGCAACAGCGACTGCCATTGTGATCGCCCCCTCGATGAAAAAGAGCCACCTGGAAGTTAGTCAGTTGATGAAATGACTGCCGATAGAAAAATGTTAACCTCCATGCCGAATGTCCCAGTACTCCCTCCATTCTGTCAAGTATACCAGACGCAATGAGAGCGCCAAATGCAATACTAATTAGCAATCCAGAAAAGAGGATTGACGTTCGGAGCCCAAGCTCCTCTGATGAAAGAGGAAAATCAAGGTCGGTATAATGCAACATGTGTAAAAGGACTTGAGCTGACCTCGCTTATACCATCTATAAGATGAGCTGGTTGGTCGACATTGTATTCAAACTGAGAGTAAGATCGACGTACTTTGACAACAAAAGTAACGCCCCTGGAAAAAAAGCCGCCTCGATGAAACCCAAGAAAAAGCGGCAAGTAAGAACACCTGCAAAGCTGATTCAACGTCAGTAAATGGCAGTATTATAGTCCGAAATGACTACGCACTCCTTCGTGATACCTAAAAAAGCATAAATCACATTTGAAAGTATGATAAGAGGGTATGCTTACCGGTCAATGTCGATATCATACCCCAAATTAACATAGCCCCGGGCAAATATAGCGAGGGTTTCTTCATATAGTTCAATAGCATGTTCCTAGAAAATGAATGAATATCGAAGACACCGCTTGGGTAGAGATAACATGACGTACGACGGAACCTGCATCAAGATGTATCCAATAAAATAAACAGCTAGAATCGTGGCGAATTGATTTCCGTGTAAGCCCAACTCCTCCTCGAATCCACGAATCCTTGCAGACCTGAAACCAGGATCTCAGAATAACTGAGAGATAAAAAAAAAGAAATGTTACGCACGCCACATTACCGCGATCGATCTAAGGATAGATAGACCGTTCAATTAGTACATTTGAAACATGCCGTGTGGCGGCGCAGACTCACGTAGTTGAGGATATAAATGACGATTAAAATACTGATACGCAGGTCTACCTTTCGGAGGAGCTGCCGTTCCAGCCGCTGCCTCGCTTTCGGATCCTCGATGTCGATGTTTGCCACAGACTTCTCGGACCCATATCCTGAGCTTGAGTCTTGTTCGGATTTGGGAGGAAACGAAGACATGAACAAGGAAGGAATTACAATGTTCTCCTGATTCTATTCTGGGGAGCATCCTTTATGAGGACGGCGCCATGGCCATATTGAGACTCTTCCGTCGGTGACTAGAGAAGGAAGATGTGTGACAAGACAGTCGCTATCGGCTTCATTCATAGAGATCAAAGACCGAAGTGAGGGGATCTTGATACTTGAGAAAAGCAAGGCGCTATCCGCAATTAGCCTGCCGACTACACTCGGTGTTGATGTTGACAAGTTTCACTGTCAAGCGGGATAATATGGACATGTGTGCTGAAAGGTTCTTTTGACATAAACCCGCCTAGCGACACCCCCAAAGAACTATGCATTTCAAGAGAGGTAGCCAGTGACTTGCGTTCCCCGGGTCTGACAGCCCTATTTCCTGGAAGATCGCATTGTGTCAGGTTACCCCTATCTTTTATCGAATATCAAGAACCTCACCTCCTTTTGCAAAATAGGATTGTGATGCTAACGTGAAACTACCACGGCAGAAGATTTCACCGCCCTGTAAAGCCATTTCGAGGCACACAGTAGATGATAGACCTAGGTAAGCCTGGCAAGGCACCAAGACATCGTATTGTCAGGCCGACCTATGGCCAACATATAGCCAGAACTGGCACGGAACACTAGCAGCGTACTTACCGGCGAAGTTCTATTTGATCTTGAGTATTCATAGACCCGCGTTCAGGTCGGTCGGGCTTGTGGCAAGTTGCAAAAGAAACATACACGCAACATACTTCGAACACGACAGTTTGACTGTAGATTCAAGGTTTTTGCACCCCTGAATTTCTCTTGATACCAAGCGGATGATGAGAGAGGGACGCAACTCGTTGGTAGTTGTTCAGCCTGAAAGGGGTATTAGCAGGTTTGTGACCGTGTGAAACCGTTACGTCGTTTCTCTGCCCCCATCGTCGCAGATTGTTTCAGTTTCATGGAAATAAGTGTGTAAGACGCACACTGTACATTCCAAAGCATGTTAATCTAAAGGAATTGATGATTTCTCGGATCTCAACGAAGACGACGAAAATGCACACATGCAAGTATCTGGCATATAACCTGGTGTTGTATGGAACACTGACCTTGTGATTTGCAGAAATGCCCATTAATCGCGGAGTCCAGCAACTCTAGTGCCACTCGAATCATTATAAGGGCTTGAACCTCATGTGAGCCAACTAAGTATACCAACCAAGGTACGTTCTCGAATCTCCACCTATTCATAGCGTAGTTGCACTTATAGAAATTGTCTCACTCCATGTCGCCGCATTCAATCTCACGTGCCCCCCTGCAATAGACGTACGTCGCTCTACAGCCGTAGCACGGCGTGTTGGTCTATGAGCGAGCCTCGTCGCCCACGAAACAAGTCCCAGCCACCCCAGTGCAGGTGTTTCTCTGTCGCGCATGTCGGCATGGGGCAATCCGTCAGCCCCAAGTCAAGAATACGAATACGTGAAGAAGGGCTACAGTATCCTCTATATGAACTGTGACAAGAGCTGCACCCGGTATCAAGCCTTAACCGAATTCCCTTGTACGACCCATACCTGTGGTAATGTGATACTGTCAAATATGGTCGACGAAAGGTTTGTTCGTTCCTTGGTTACATGGTATTGATCGAGCCATAAGGCACATACCGTGGTGGCTCCGTCGTTTGCGAATGATGTGGCGCCAGCTTCGTTGAGTGTCGGGTTAGAGGTTCCTTTCTAAAAAGGGGGAAATTGTAGATTTCCCAAAATATGCATTAAGGGGGAATCGAACCCCCGGCGGGTCGATACGACGTCGACCGATGGCAACGACCCAGGTTACCACTACCCCATTAATGCGCATAACGTGTGAATTTTATACCAATCTATGGTCTGGATTAAAAGATTGCTTCACTTGTAATCAGGGGGTCTTCGAAGTTCCCTCATAAAATAGTCACAAATGTTAAATAGTGCTCTGAAAGGCTCATCAAGACAAGAGCAGGCCAAGGCCATGCATCATTTAAATTAGTACACAAGTGCACAGTTTCTCCATCCACAAGACCTGTTTCATGGAATAAGATGCACACTGTACCTTCCAGAGCATGTTTATCTGACAGAAATAGTGATTGAACACAAGGAATTGACGTTTTCTCAGATCTCAACAAAGACAAGAAAAATCCACACAAGCCTACGACTTACAACGACCACACCATCACAATTTACACGCTACGACTCACAACGACCACACCACCACATCCACACGCGACCTCCTACACGGTCACGACGACTTCCATCACGATCACATGATACACAACGCACAATAGATAGAACTTGTAAGTGACTTACTTCTCACTTTGATCTTAATACCACGTCTTTATCCTCTTCGATCTCGTCTTTCTTATTGCCTTCACCAATCATAAAGATCACGCCCAACGGTGTGCTTACAATACATGCAAGTATCTGACATATAGCCTGGTGTTGTAGGGAACATTGACCTTGTGATTTGCAGAAATGCCCATTAAACGCGGAGTCCAGCAATTTTAGGGTCACTCGCACCATTAGAAGGGCTTGAACCTCATGTGAGGCAACTAAGTATACCAATCAAGGTAGGTTCCTCACCTATTCATAGCGTAGTTGCACTTATAGATAGAAATTGTCACAGCTCACTCCATGTCGCCACCTGCGATAGACGTGCGTAGCTATACAGCCGTATCATGGCATCTCGGTCAATGAGCGAGCCTCGTCGCCCGCGAAACAAGTCCCATCCATCCCGTGTAGGAATTTCTCTGTCGCACACGGATTGCCCCAATATCAGAGGAATGCCGAAATCAGCCTTAAGTCAAGAATACGAATAACGGGAAGAAGTTCGTCTAACGGCCCGATGATGACGTTATACATACGCCCATCTTGCCAGGCGGATTGCCGAGGACCTGTGTTTGGTTGACGGGGGATGCTGCAGACTGGCCATGGGAACATCGTTGACGTTTTTGGTGGGCGCAGGATATTGTCTCGACAAATTGACGGCGATGGATGGTTTCTTCCGAAAGGGCCTCGACAGGGCGAATACTAATAGGCACGAAGCGGACAGTGGTGGGGCGGTAAATCGAAGTGAAGCTTGAGGGACGTGAGGCACTGGTCAATACGTAGAAGAAGGGGAATTTGGGTATGATCGATGTCTTCGGTCTTGTCAGCTCAGTCATGAGGTCGCCGAATCCAACCCCCACCAACGTACTTAGAGGTCACAGCGGGGATGCATTTCGGGCACACATCTCATCGGAAGAAGAACATCTGGCGCGAGGCTGATGCTGTATGACCATGCGCGACTGCAACGTCAGTTGCCAATCTCTTCCTCCTTGGTGTGTGCTTTCATGTCGTCCCCTTGAAATCGATCAGAATGTCCTAATAAGACTGCCAAGGCGCTCATTTGCATTCGGCCAGGGCTTACACGATGGTTTAAGCACTTCCAGGACATTCAACAAGGAGATGCCCTTAGCATTCTTCGAGTTCGACAATGGCGTCGGACAGCTCATCTTGTTGTGGGCGCCATAGGACACGAGAGCGTTTGATGGCGGGCTTGGCTTGCTTCTGTGCCAAAGTCATGAGTCTATTGGACTCCATTCAGATGTGCCGGGGGATGCGGAGGCGGGCGACTTCAGTGGATCTTTTGGGTATATTGAAAGCTTCTTTATTTGACAAGGTACTGATACTTACTGTGTTGAATTTTTAGTGTATTCAGTTTCCCACGTTCTCGATCAGTTCAGTGATCGCGAACAATCACTAGTGACTATAGTACCACATGCAACGAAGTCAATTCCATCTCGTTCTATGGATGCTACACGCCCTAGCTACGCCGTGGTATAAAAATGTAGGTGTTAGGGTGATATGGCGAGCGTGAACTGATGTACGTCGACGTGATAGCCTCCTGCACACTGAGTTACATCTACTATCAGGATCGCGGCGAAGGATAAACTGGACCTCTCTACTTTCCAAATCTCTGTCCATGGGCCTGTCATACAACACTATGGAGGTGAATATCAGCTGGCCTGCGTGTGTACCAGCAACATTCTTATCGAACCCTCTGACAGAGAAGCGTATACATTAGCACCATCGTTTTAGGTGATTATTTTACTGCTTAGTATTCGTAGTAAAGTCTAAATCCTCGGACACAAGGGAGAAGGTACTGTTTCTTGTGACTTGCTCGTGACTCAGTCCGATCCTCAAGGTGGTCGATAGCCTTACCTCGTCACTTGGTAAGTAAAGTCCAGTCCCTTTCCTTTTTGAAAGATCTTACTGGCAAGTGACTAACACATTTTGTAATAAGATTAGCGGTCATGTGCAAATCGAACGGCCTTTATTGATAGAACCATTCATCAAGACTAGGCCGTCTTATAAAGAGGGAAAATGGGACTCGGAGCGTCTCAGGCTACAATGATTTCGTCTGGCCCTGCATTCTTGGCGCTACTTGTGATCCTCATCCCGGCCTTATGCGGGACCGCGAATAGTCTTGAAGCAACAGCTGCCGAATTCAAAAGTATCGCCGGTACGGCCTCTCCTACGATGACCACAGCAAGGAGCGTCGAAAGTCTAGCAATCACGAACACGACTTCGACCGTCAAACCTGGCGTCCCGATGGATTTGAAGACCAATTCCACTACCGCGGGAAATGGTGGTTGCAGTTCGCCGAGTCAGAGGCGAGAATGGTATGAGTCGTTCGTTAAATACCACAGATGACTTCTGATGCCATCCTTGTGTACAGGCGGAGCATGGGACCTCCCGCTAGATCTGACTACTTGAAGGCGATACAATGCCTCCAGCGTCTTGCATCGACAGCAGCCGCCATTCCTGGAGCTCGAACCCGCTTTGACGATTTTCAAGCCTACCATATCTCTGTTACGACGAAAGTGCATGAAGTGGTGCGTAAGGTTATAACACTCAACTCAGACGAGGCTGATATCTGTATCGTTCTTAATTAGGGACAGTTCCTTCCTTGGCACCGTTGGTTTCTGCATACCTACGAAGTCGCACTGCGCAAGGAGTGCAAATATGGAGGACCTATACCGTATGCAGATCTCCATGATCTATGAAAATTCTGCTCACCCGTTTGCTAGATATTGGGATTGGACCAAGGATGCATTCCCTGATAACCCGGAAGTGTACGTCCACGGCGAAACTGCCGCTTCTAATGAGCTCACATTCTGATTTAATTTTTTTTAGCTTTCAGTCTTCACCCATCTTCTCGGGTAAGGGAGGCTTTGGTGAATTGCCTCTCGTCCCCAGGCCCTTAACGACTGGTCCGTTCACCAAGTATCACCTCCAATTTGGTACCGGGCCACCGCCAAACAAGACAGCCCATCTCATCGAGCGCGGTTTCGACATTACGATGTTACCTCGACTTACAGAAGCAGCCGTTGAAGCTACTCTTAGCCGTAAGACATTCGAAACGTTCCGTATCGAACTCGAAGGAAGACCCGTCACACTAGAGCCTAAAGTACACGATTCTGGACATCGCGTCGTCGGTGGTGACATGTCCGACACGTATTCCAGCCCTGGTGGTAAGCCACGATTAAGTTCTTGCGTCGTATAACTCTAATACCAGTCCATCCAGACCCATTGTTCTATCTCCACCATGCCAACCTTGATCGCTTGTGGTGGAAGTGGCAGAGGGTAGACCCGGCCCATCGTCTGTACCAGGTATCCGGCCGCTCGACCCAAAATCCCCCTTATCATAATATTACCCTTGACACGACTCTTCCTACGGAGCCTTTGGGACGGTCCGTGCAAATTTATCAGGTCATGGATATTAGCAATGATCTGCTTTGCTATACATACATATAGATGTTATTTCTTGTTGAATATAAAGGCTTCCTTTCGGATCGAGATGCGCGACTGCCACTACAAATTTTGAATCATCTGTGCCGCAATAAGTACGCAGTCAATCTTCCATTCAATGGTGAAGCAACATAATTGCCTTACTATCTTTGCGATACCACCGAGAATGGTGGGACTCATGGATGCGGGGTAAGTTTGGGTACTGTACCCCACACTTACACAGAATATTGGCGTTAGTGGGCAAGCTTGGGGCAAGAACGCTTGAAGACGACCGAATAAATCGGAGAGCAGAACTTGAACAGCATCAGTCCTGTTCGATGATACGCCGAATTGTCGACGGATCGAGTTCATAGGTGACATACCCGTCAACGCCCTTTGTGGTATTTCTGGGTCATGGGTTGTCCAATGCTGCGCCAAGCGAGGCCAAGAAGGGCCAAGAGCACGCGTAACCCGACGACAGTTGTTGATTGTAACCCCGCCACTGCATACCTTCACTCCGAGTCTCCGAATACGGTACATTTGTGTTTTTCCGGTCTGGTGAATGACAACGGTAGGATATCGGTGAAGGAGCATCCATCTTCATTGCGGCACATATCTTGGCTTGGCCTCAGGTTGAACGGCTACCCCATGCAGCATCGCGGTGCTTGCAAAAAAAAAGTCGGGGCGGAGTAGATATGATAAGGATATTGTGACAAAATTTCGCTCTAGTACTAAGTATGTAGATCGCTGACGAACGGGAAGATGGGTCGAAAGGAAGCCATCAATCAGGATCAAAACATAGTGGCTGTGCGTCTTCATTTCTCCTTTTCTCCTCCACAACATACGCCCGTTGCAGTAACATGATACTAGTGCCTTGCTTGGCGCTCTCAGTCTGCTCGCAAAGTCCGCATATTCCACATGTCTGAACCACTCTATCGGCCAATGGAATAATAGAACAGCGTCATTGGCAGTCGATTGCTAGAACGATGTGGCCTTAGTTGCAATGCAATTACATCCAATGATACTTGAGGTCCTTTCTTTAATTGTCGAGA